GGCACCATGATTCTCCATGACTGTAGGTGTAAGTGAGGTTGAAGTATCCAGTCCCTCAGCCAGACCTCGCAAGATTATACGAGGTTCACTACAGGGAGAAGATGGTCTAGTGCTTGTCCATGTGAGTCTTTACATTGACTTCAATCAGCTTTGAATGTGGTCATGGTCTACTGACAAGGTATCTTAACCTACCAGTCTCCCTGCACAATGCTGCTCACCCTTCCTACACTCCTTAGCTTCTCTCTCTACAGCCCCTCTTCCAGTCCAACCCACCCAAAGTTCCCCTGCTCCAGGCCTGTGAGGATCGAAATTGGTGAGTCAAATGGGCAACACCTGAGGAGGGAAGTAGCCAATGAAAGTTGACTGCTCAGTCGGCTCTTCTTGGCAGAAGGGAGACTGCTGTTTTGTCATTAAACTAAGAATTTAACATTGACCTGTCCCTGAGCTGACATGAAAGTGTCCCTGAGGCCTGGTGCTTGTAGAGACTGCAGCTCTTTATTTAGACAGAAAATCCACAGCAGAATCTCAAGATAAATTTCCAAAGTCTCAATTTTACACTTTTCTCTGTGAAAAGTAGTAAACAGTACACTATACAGACACTACGGAAAATTTACTTAACCCATAAAAGACTAGTTTGGAAATTTCAGAGGGAACATTCATAGCATCAAATTAGAGGGATTTTAGTTTGGCTGTAAAATGCTACAGACTCAGGGATCACAAGGGACCATCATGATCATCTAGTCTGACCCCTCTACACATCACAGGCTGCAGATCCTCATCTCTCATCTCCGCATGATCATAATGGAGAGTCCTTGGGGCTCCTCTGTGGATTAAACTTAATGGGTAGTTTGCTTTTAAATAAAAGGTTGATGGGAGAAATTGACAAATCTTTGTTCTAAACAAAGTTGTGGCATCTATTCTCACCCCCCTTCCCAGGTTCTCTGCCCCACACGGGTGGCAGCTCAGGTAAGCAAAGTTAGGCATTGCCTTCCTAAAAATGCCTACACTCCACAGCTGCCAGGGAAAGCTGGGGCTGTGGCACAGCAGGCACGGCCCTTCAGGTGGCCAGGAAGGATTGGGCTGGGATCAGACAGGGTTTGGCTCCATGGAGGGGGACGAGGCAGGGCCTAGGGTGGAAGGGATGGAGCTAGGGCTGTTCCCACACCCCCAAGACTCCCCTCTAACGCCACACAGCAAAATAAAGAGCACTTCTCAAAAAATAAATCCACACTGTAAACGAACAGGTCCTCACCAGTAGGAGCACATATGATTGTATTTTTCCCACTGATAGCAGGCTGGGCAAGCTCAATCTGATAACTTCTAGCCTTCTTTGGTTCATAAGTAGGTTGTTCAGAAACTTCTAGAACATAAAACAAAAACTGTGGTGAACGTGATTCATAACATAAAATGGATATAGCAATGCTTAGGTGAGAAGACATTATTCCCCATATATGGTTATGATCTAAAATTACATGAGTAGCACCCTTAAGGGAAAATATTTTATTACAGCCCATGTATCTGATTGGACCTGTAAGTGCTTCATGTGTTACAGGCTGGCATTTTTATTAACTCATTTCAAACTCTTTGCAGGTAGAGTCAACAATGATCTTTACCTTGACCCAACCTTTCCAAGCCAGAAAACACAGCACCTGATAAACATGTCTGACCATGTCTTCTCATAGCAAAATTCTGTGATCAATATGCACAGCTTGAATGTGTCTTATTTTAATCTCTTTCTGGTCTAGAAAAAACTAGATAATTTCATGGAGGTTAAGTCCATAAAAGTCTATTAGCCAGGGGACAGAAATGGTGTCCCTGGCCTCTGTTTGTCAGAGGCTGGAGATGGATGGCACAAGACAAATCGCTTGATCATTGTCTTCCATCCACCTCCTCTGGGGCACCTGGTGCTGGCCACTGTTGGCAGACAGGCTACTGGGCTAGATGGTCCTTTGGTCTGACCCAGTATGGCCATTCTTACGTTCTTATGTCTATTGATTGCTATACCTTCCAGAACTTTCTTTAACTCAGAAACTTTAACTTTAAAAATAAACAGCCACTCTGGCACAATTACTAGTTACCATTGTGTGACCAACAGAGAGTAATAGTACAAATTAAGATTAATCAAAACAGTTAAGGAAATTTGCAAAACAAGCAATATTTTAAGGTGCTCAGCTTTGTTCCAGTCATGACAGACTATTACACTGTTGTTTATCTAAATTACCAGCTAAGTCAGGTGTTGACTTACTCAAATCAGAGAACACTATGGATTGTGTACTAGTATTTTAACCACTTCTTATGGTGTGCCTATGAAACACCAACTTTCCAATAGTGTATGCTAAATGAGGAGAAGTATATTATGTGTGTGTCATGCCCAAGACACTGGACACTTTTAGCAACAAACAGTGATGCTCAACCAGGCAGTAGGAAAATCAATGCAGAAGGCTGTTTCCTAAAATTTTCTTGCAAACCATTTTAAGGACACAACATAGAATTTGGACTTTTACAGGATTGCATAATTTTAAGGTCTACAAGAGTGTTGAGCGGTTAACTATTACCTGAAGGAGAACATGGCCTTTCACTGAAATTGTGAACTTCTGCTTCTTCGGAGTACTGTACATTTATGTCTAAGGTCCTGTTCTGTTCATCCATCATTTCAACATCCATATCTGTATCATTACCTGAACAATATGAAGGCAAGCATCTTAGTCATCTTTTCCATTTTAAATATCATACATTTGACAGGTCAGGAAAAGTAATTCTCCTACAACATAGAATCTTATTGGGGAATCAGTTGTTTGCAGGCAGTGGAGGAGGTCACAGATGACTGTAATGGCCTCTTCTGCTCTTAGTGTCTTTGAAGTAAAACTAATGGTGGTTGCAGGCTGGCCATAAGGTAGACAAATGACTACATGGAGACCTATGGTTTTATAGAAGCACCACACACTCATTAAAGTGCAGCTTGCTCAACTCCTCTTGCCTCTTGTTCTGACTAGTTCTGAGGGCATCCGCTAGATATCCTTGCTCCTCCTATGTTTTGCATTTTGGAACTGTTTTCTCATAGAACTATCAGTCAGCTGTGAATAAAAAACAAACACACAAAAAGCACATCAGAGCTACCTTTCCCTTCTCCTTTGTTAGCCAACAAATCCAGCTCCAAAGAGCAGGCATTAGTTAGCAGTGCCTTCTGTCACCAACTCTTTTAGACTTCGAGAGTTGTGAATGACATCTCCAACATGGATAATTTCTTTTATGTCTAATAGCAATTGGATAAGTTTTAGTTTCGATGTGATAGATTTCATGAAAGACCCTAAAAGCCTTTTTTTTTAAAAAAAAAGAGGACTATGAATACAGGTGATGGTAAGGGGACACGCACAGACAAAGTTACACAGACTGGTTACTGTAATATAAAGCTAACTCCAAATTGGAGCCAACCACAGAAATGAAAAAGTTATTTAAAATAGCTAAACATTTACATATTTCCCCCCATTTTTGCTAATTAAAACTATTTCAAGCAAGATCCTTATGTTCTAGGTCAAAGCAAATCAAGAGTAAAAAAATTGAATCTAGATTCATCCGTAACAATCACTTGGCTCAATTATATGGTGCCCATCCTCAACTTTCCCTGGGAAGTATGAAGCAAACTCAGTGGTGACAGTATTTATAGAACACCAAAGAAGTGGGAAAACGAAACACACAAAATGGTGGATTTAGTGGTAGAGGGTGGATTTAGTGGAAAACACCACATTTGGACAAAACAAAAGAAGTTGCTTAATCTCAATGCCAGTAGACACTGCACAAACTCTGATACATAAGATCTTTGCTTTTCTATTGTGTGCACATATATGTAAGGAAAAGGGGATCAGTCCATTATGGATTGTGGAAACCTATACAGATCACTTTCCAAGAGGGACAGCAAAGGAAGGTTTATCAGTTTCTATAAGAGGCACCATCAACTTGACAAATCACATTTGTGTCTGAAATTGTTGTCCCCCTTCAATTACAAACACCACATGAGATCATGATAGATGAATGTACTTGAGGGCATGGAGAGTGGGACAAATGTTTCCGGGTTGTTCACTTTGAGCAGAGTCAATTTGTTCATTTACATTATATAGTTAATTTCTCCTTTGCTAAAAAGAACCTATTATGGAGCAAGAAAAAACCCTTTTAAATGTTCTATATTTCAGGGATTTTTATTACCAAAACACACATTTTTTTAAACTGAGCCATATAAAAATAAAGAAATCCAGCTGATAGTGTCCTTTTAAAGTAATCACATTTTACTGAAGATGATTCAAGTCTGAAAAAACTTAAACAATGATCTTGTAGCACCTTAGAGACTAACCAAAAAATATATAGCTATTCTTTAAGGTGCTACAGGACCATTGTTGTTTTTAAAGGTTTTTTTTTTTAGCTACAGACTAACACAGCTACCCCTCTGTCAGGTAAAACAGCAGAAACTTAACAACAGAATATGATAAGAATTTGCGTATTACCTTCTTTCATATTCCACAGTTTGCTTGCTTCGTCATATCCTGCACGGTCTAGAGCTAGATGAAAGGTTTTGGGCCAATTTTCCTTGTCTGACCTACAAAGGCATTCTATGAGCTTTACTGCACCAGCCATGGGGCCTTTATGTTCTTTAACCTGCATAAAGTACAAACAAAGTTTGTAACTACTTCCAAAATATCAAAATGTATCATTCAAAAGAAAGATATTGTTGAGCCTTCACAGGACAAAACTCTGTAATGTTCTGCATAGCACACAATGGTTCCGATCTTGTAAACAATTGAGTATGTGCATGGCTTTACATTCACAAGGAACCTCACTGAACTCAATTGAACTACTCGCAACCACAGAGTTATGTATGCGTTTCAATTTTGGAAGGATGAAAGTCTATGATAGGTCTCTGTTCCTAGGTTCCACAATTTGTAAAGAGGGGTTACTAATGCTTATCGACGGGGCTCGACAAACTATAGAATCTACTCGCCCATGGCCAGTAGATTTCAGCCGCGCACCCTGTTTACCGGCGGCATGCGCATACGCAATGTGGCTCTTGCACATGCGCAGCGCGGGACTGGCGAGCAGCTTTCGCCACCGTTTGTCAAGCCCTGCTTATCGATCTTTGTAAAATGTTTTGGAATCATGTGATGAAATGTCTCTTAAAAATATGAAATATTATAAACCCAGGTAAAAGATTTTAAGTTAACTGAATTGGAGTATCTTTCAAAACATACAAAATAAATAATAATACTACAATATTTTATTCAGATTTAAAACAATGCAATAGCTTAGGAAGTTCCTCTTGTCTGGAAGCCAGTAAAATCAGGGATGGAGACCATCTAATTTAGCTGCCTTGTAATGCATCAAGCATACTGATGCTTTAACCACAGATAAACAACAGCATTGCTGCTTACTAATTGATGGCAACATGCCAAAAGAGGTAAAAATCTAGCACCTATCTTTAACCCTCTCAGTAAGAAAAGAATCTAATTGTTGGCTTTAAAAAACAACAAGCAGTCCCGTGGCTACATCTAAACAGAAGCGTTTAGGTACATTTAAACAGAAGCGTTATTTCAGAATAACTAATGTTATTCTACACAGCAAGCCATTATTTCAAAATAATGTCGACTTCTTACTCTGACTCCTGTACCCCTTGTTTCAGGAGGAGTAAGGGAAGTTAAAGGAGTGCTCTTCCTTCAACTTCTTGCTACACAGACAGTGCCAAAAGCCGAATTAAGCTATTTCAACTTCAGCTACACAATTGACGTAGCTGAAATTGCGTGGCTTAATTCGAGTTTTGCCCTGCTGTGTCGACTTGCCTCAGAGAGTAACAGAAGTATATAGTTTTGTGGGCAAAACTCACTTCATTAGATGATTTGGATTTAAAAGCTTCAGATTGAAACCTTCATTTTGCTTTTTTAAAAGCCTTTATGGATGTGACGCCGAGCAAGCAAAGGTTAAACAACCAGCAGGCCGTCTGACCTGAAAACAATCCTTAAGAATATAATAGTCTATTTCCCCCCCCCCCCTTTTACTCTTCTCCCTCCCTATCCCCGATTTATTTTGAAACTGGACCTTTAATAACTCCATTCCTCTAAAGAAGTGGGTTATGCCCATGAAAGCTCATGATACCGTCTACATGTTTTGTTAGTCTTTAAGGTGCTGCTAGACTATTCATTGTTTAAGTTTTTCTAGAAAAGCATTGACATGGTAAACCAGGCCATTCCCTATAAATAGTTAGCAAACTCTTGTTTAATAGACTAGAGTCCTTGAAATGTAGGCCTATACTGCTAGAGACTCAAGAAGTTGATTCTAATTGTATTGATCTATGTTTACCTGTATCTTTGCTAGAAGTTTAACAATGTGATATACGTAGCTTGTAGATGCTAAACTTTTGTTCCGGTGTATAAAGTTTTATTACTGTATTCTATTGATTCAGATATCAAAAGGGGATATTACAATTTAGATAGTACTTTTAGTATAACATTACTCTGTTCATGTGATCATGTCTCTTTGAAATGTGTGTCTCCATATTGTAAAAGTACCTGTGAACTGTCTGAATGGTTAATTGCCTTATGCTAATGACCGCAACTAGATATGGGTGTATGCCACAGAAACAGATTAGCTTCAAAGCAGCAAGGAACTTTGCCTGCATTACAGTACTTGTGTGTGAGGTGAACTGAAAAATACTGTTTCTTCTGATCCTTTTACAGTGCAAATATGTTATGAAAATAATATAAACTGAGCACTGTACATTTTGTAATTGAAATCAATAGTTTAAGTAAAAGTTACTCTATTGTTTAATGGTGCGATTAAAACAGCAATTAATCATTTTTTTAATTTCACAATTAATCATGGTTCCTTTCTTTAATCGTTTGAACCTCCCTAGTTTCTATATCATACTGACATAGCTGAAGCCCCAGTCAAGACTACACAATTATCACAGAACTGTAAACTCTGCAAATCAAGTTGCAGTTTTGATTTAAGGGATACCTGCTTAATCTCTTGACATTCTCTGTCTATAAGACAAGTGTATACAAGAGGAATTATCTGGTCTGTATCAATTTTTCTCAATGTAGCTTCTATACGTTTCAGCAACTGTCGATGAATCTCCAGGTTTTCAAGTTTTTGGAAATCCCAGTTTTCGATTGCTTCTCTCAGACCAGTGTAACCTTAAAAACAAAAGGGGGTTGGGGAAATTACACCAGCAAACTCCGCTTTTAATTAAAACAGGTATGTAGAGACTGAACAAGATGCTCTTGTCAACAGTGGAGAAACAATGCTTATTTTGGCCCATGACTGGCTAAGAGCCACTGCGTGAACTGCAAACACATTTTGAAAAGGAAACTGGACGCCCTTTACTGCTCCTTTTTGCTTTACATAAAAATAAAACAAAAACAAACCAGAAAAGGTTCCCTATATTAAAGAGGTTAAGGCTGCTAAGTCAATAAAGACAAGTTAGGAAATTCCAAACTTAATAATGCCTGTGAAACCTTAACTCGGCTGCCTTCTACCTATGCATTATGATACAAAAGGAATGTTTTTCCACAGGACTAGGCCTCATTTGGAGCTCAGGATGCTCTCCCATCTCCTATCCTCTCTCATCCCTGGCTCGTGGTCCCTCTCCCATTCAGCTTCTGTTATCACCCCTCTCTCCTCCCTGTTCCTATCTGCTTCCCCATCTTGTACCCTCCCCGTATCTCTTCTCTCTCCCTGCCACCATTTCTCACTTCTCTCCATTCGCATCAAGCTGCTCTCTTTTCCCCCTCCAATTGCCAGTGGACCAGCACCACTGGTTCTGGAGCTCAGTGCTGCAACTGATCCTGGTGGTAAAGGAGGGGTAGTTGTGGGGAAAGTCTTCAGTCTGAGTCCCTCTGGGATAAACCATGCTCAACTGCTGCATGGGCTATGGTCACAGAGACCAGTCAGAGAGAACATGCTTAGCACAGACTGAATGTTCAGAGAACTGGGCTGTCAAATTATAACAACTGAACATGTGCAAATCCATTTTTCTGAAGCTGTGTCCAAATTTGGGAGCTTTTTTCTGGGAACAGCCAAAGGCCAACTGCTGGCACAAGCCAGATCCCCTGCCAAACTTCAAGTCCCCATTGCAAAGCATGGATGTGTGAACCTTGGCTACATCCTCTACTCACCTCTTCTTGAGCCTAAACATCTCCTGTCTTTCCAGTCTCTCCTCTTATGGAAGTCTCCCTTGGTCTCAAATCACTTAGAGCAGAAATAAAAGTGGCCCAGAAACTATCACTCTCTTAAAATGGATTGACAAGATCCAAACACATTGTTACAAGTAATGGTGTACCACTGATTTGTACAACGGCAACATAAGATTTTTAATACTTTGTACAGATGGGCTATGGAATAGTCTCCCAAGGGAAAGGGTAGAAGCCTCATTGCCTGCAACTGATTAAATCAGAATGTTTACATACACAACACAGGTAACAACGCATTTAGATCATCTAGTGCATGGGTTCCCAAATTGGGGGGCGTGAAGAAATTCAAGGGGGGGGGCATGAGGCAACCCAGCCCCCTCCCCCCCAGGTTTTCCTGCTATTTTTGTTTCTCAGCCCCAGTCAGTTCCTTTTTTTGTTTTGTTTACTCAAGTTTTGCTGCTATTTTGGGGAGGGGGAAGCAATGAGGGTTTCTCAAAAATCAAAAAAGGGGGCGTGATGCCAAAAAGTTTGGGAACCACTGGGGCCTTTTCAATCTCTAACGTGTATGAAAGAGTCCTCCAGCAAAAGTCAAAGTGCACTATAGTCACCTGTATATATCATACAGAAGTCATGAAGGATATACTTAGTTTTTGGCAGTTCATTCTTAGGACAAGTCTACACTAGCGGGCAATGTCTAACTAAGGTACACAACTCCAGCTACGTGAATAGCATTGCTGGAGTCGATGTATCTCTTAGATCGAATTCCCACAGCATCTCCACTGCGTGGGGGGGAAAGGATAGAGGGGTTGATGAAAGTACCGGAGTCAACAAGAGTTCAATCAGCAGTTGATTTAGCAGGTCTTTGCTAGACCCGCTAAATCAACCCCCAGGAGATCGATCCCCACAGCACCAAAATCTCCCAGTAAATGTAGATAAAACAGCTTAGTAGCCTATGCAAATACCTGAACTAGATTCATGCCAGCTTAATTACATTCTAGGTGATATTGCTGTGCTTAAAAGAAGCACACAGGATTTTTTTCAGGGGGACCAGGCAACACACTGAATTTAAATCAAACAGGACAATTGCATTGTATTTTATCAATTAATCAAGAGTTACATGCCATTAAGATCAGAGGAGCTCTCCTTTGTCAGATCAGAGGGTTTTAAATACTACTTGCTAAGCAAACCCCTGGTGTGTGCGCGCGCGCGCGCGCACACACACACACACAACGGCAACATAAGATTTTTAATACTTTGTACAGATGGGCTATGGAATAGTCTCCCAAGGGAAAGGGTAGAAGCCTCATTGCCTGCAACTGATTAAATCAGAATGTTTACATACACAACACAGGTAACAACGCATTTAGATCATCTAGTGCATGGGTTCCCAAATTGGGGGGCGTGAAGAAATTCAAGGGGGGGGGCATGAGGCAACCCAGCCCCCTCCCCCCCAGGTTTTCCTGCTATTTTTGTTTCTCAGCCCCAGTCAGTTCCTTTTTTTGTTTTGTTTACTCAAGTTTTGCTGCTATTTTGGGGAGGGGGAAGCAATGAGGGTTTCTCAAAAATCAAAAAAGGGGGCGTGATGCCAAAAAGTTTGGGAACCACTGGGGCCTTTTCAATCTCTAACGTGTATGAAAGAGTCCTCCAGCAAAAGTCAAAGTGCACTATAGTCACCTGTATATATCATACAGAAGTCATGAAGGATATACTTAGTTTTTGGCAGTTCATTCTTAGGACAAGTCTACACTAGCGGGCAATGTCTAACTAAGGTACACAACTCCAGCTACGTGAATAGCATTGCTGGAGTCGATGTATCTCTTAGATCGAATTCCCACAGCATCTCCACTGCGTGGGGGGGAAAGGATAGAGGGGTTGATGAAAGTACCGGAGTCAACAAGAGTTCAATCAGCAGTTGATTTAGCAGGTCTTTGCTAGACCCGCTAAATCAACCCCCAGGAGATCGATCCCCACAGCACCAAAATCTCCCAGTAAATGTAGATAAAACAGCTTAGTAGCCTATGCAAATACCTGAACTAGATTCATGCCAGCTTAATTACATTCTAGGTGATATTGCTGTGCTTAAAAGAAGCACACAGGATTTTTTTCAGGGGGACCAGGCAACACACTGAATTTAAATCAAACAGGACAATTGCATTGTATTTTATCAATTAATCAAGAGTTACATGCCATTAAGATCAGAGGAGCTCTCCTTTGTCAGATCAGAGGGTTTTAAATACTACTTGCTAAGCAAACCCCTGGTGCGCGCGCGCGCGCACACACACACACACACAAGCTGTTGGTTAGGTCACAGCATTTAGGAACAATCTGAACACAATCCTCAAGGCATGGACCCATTATTTATCTGGTACAAACTCAGCCATTACATAGCATTGTATACACTTCAGTGCTAGGCAAATAAAATACAATGCTGATAAATGAAGTGTGTGACATTTAAATTGTTAGTTTATGTTTTTAAAAATAACATTACGCCTTATAATAAGTCCATCAAAGAGAGAAGTGAAATGTCTATATACTCTGCACCTCACCATTGAAGCATTGTGTTTACTTTGAAAAAGGACTAATGATGGCATCTTCAGTTCCCTGTTCATTATGTGTCTGAATCCTGGATGAATTTCCTCAGTTCACAAGTATAAAGATTGATTTTTCCTACTTCAAATACTTGAAAACGGCCTGAAAAATCAAGTCCAAATCAAATTGCCCATGTCCTCATAATATTACTTCTTGCTTTGAGCTGCACAGTTAAAAATGTTAGCTTTTAATTGTCAGCAAGTAGGCTTCCAACAAATCACAGCTGTCAGAGTTACTATCTTAGGCTGTCTGGAGACCTCACTGCATCAGTTAAATGGTTCACAATTTGCATGTTTTCTTTGAAACCCAATGTTTGTCTGCATTTTGTTTTGCTAGCTGACAAGTTAATGAAAGCTAAGATTTTGGGACACTTTTGCTAGCTGACTAAGTTAATGAAAGCTAAGATTTTGGGACACAAGAGGGTGCACGCACGCACGCACACGCACGCGCGCGCACAGACCCCTCATACCAAGCTGCCATGAGCCAGCCCAGTTTAATCACGGCTCTTAATCCTTTAGCCTAACTTGCCCATTCTGCTTAAAGTAGAAACACATTAGTGGAGAAGCTTGCACTGCTACAACTTGAACTAAAGAACTAACAGGAATTCATTTGCCAGGTCAGCAAATTCACACACGAAATGAAAAAGCAGCAGCGGGAGAGAGGCGAGAGGAAAAAAATCAACCTTTTCAGCTTTCCAAGGGAAAACAAACCTGCTTCATGCAGTGCATCTAGAAATCCACGAAACCATCCTTCTGATTCAAGCTGCAGTAAGGAGTCAACAAAGAATTGTGCAGCAGCGGTAAGCCCCTTCTGCTCGATCTGAATTCTCTCGCTGACATCTAGAATGAAATTAGATGGGAATGTGTTAAAATTGTAGTTCTGGCAGGAAGACAGCAGCAGGGACTGCAACTGGTACACAGTGCTGTAGGCTCTAAAATATTTACTGGGCATGTTTACACTGCACTTCCAGAGACAAGGAGAGGAAGCATAGACTCCTTTATGAGTGGGAAACAATCTCTACAGATCCTCATCTTAAACTCAAATTTAGACTGCAAATTCTTGGCTGAAATTAAGAAAGCTGACAAGACAATTTGATCTCCAGTCTCACGGCTCTTGGGGAATCCAAGACAGTCATTGTTACCCCCCTGCTTCCAGCAAGAGGGAGTCTGTCTTGAGGTAATGGTGTCAGCTCCCCATTACCACCAGCCTTCCAACGCCCACTCTTCTTTTCATCGTGCTGGTTATAGATAAATAAATTCACCCCAATCCCCGAGACTCTTTGAATCATTTCCATATGATATCCAGCCCCTGACATGGTCTATTCCTAGAAATCCCAGATTATCTGTCCCCAAGGCACATTGAACTGTAAATTTTCAATTTAAACTGCTGCTTCTACAAGAGATACGGCTCTTAAGTACTTAAATTTATACTTGTTGTATTACATGAGTAGGGTTGCCAGGTGTCCGCTTTTGAATTGGACATTCCAGTATTTGAGCTCTCTGTTCAGGAAACAAACTGAGAAAATATGAATGAGAAAATATAAATGTCCAGTATTTTCTAAATAAGATGTAATGTAGATTGTGATGTAATATCAAGTGTGTCTGGTATTTTTGTTGAAACCATCGGGCTACCCTATGTAACACGAGTAAAGGTTTCTTGGGTTATGATTATAGAAAAAAATAATAAAATTTTAATATGAGTTTACCCTTATCATTAGCATCTTTCCCATCTGATAAATACCCCTACACCCCAATATCTTCCACAATTCAGTCTGTTGCAAAACCAGCTGGCTTCTCAAAAACCAGGCTCCAAACTTTCATGAAGTCACCTTTGTGTTCCACTCAAGTTTTTCCTTGGTAAACGGACCCAGAGTGCATCTCCCTTCACTGTACTGTAATAGCTTTTGTTTCTTTTCACAGAGGGTGAATCCCTGTTTTGTTATAATGTTGCCTGTCTACCTTTTATTGGTTTCAATTGTTTGCATTTGCCTCTGACTGTTTCCCAATCAAAGGGTATATCTACACTGGCAAGTTTCTGCACAGCAAGTTATACCTCTCTCATTAAAGCGCAGGAATTAAACTGCTGTCAACACTGTGCTCTTTGTGATGGTGGGCTGCACCCACGTTAACAGCTCTTGCAAAGGTAGTGCATCGTGGTAGCTATCCTACTGTGCAACTGGCTGCAGGGGGCTCTGGGAAGGGTTTGGAAGGCCATGTGGGGCAGACAGTGTCACAAGGCAGGTTTTCCTGAGAGGCTGTAGCTAAGTGGATGGAAGAACCGTCCCACTGACCTAATGCTGTTCATGCAGTGATTTAGATCCACTACACTACAACACTCAGGGGTGTGGAGTTTCACAATCCTGAGTGACATCTTTATGCCAACATAATTTTCTAGTGTTGACCAGGCCTTATTATTGCACAAGGCTAAACAACCAAGCCTTGCACTGCCAGCTAAAAAGTGAAGGGTGACAATTCATCTCGTGTTAACAGGACACCACCAACACACATCATGGCTATTTTCTACTCCGTGTCCATAAAGCATACTTTCGATATACATATATTATTCCTTAAATACTAGCTGACTATACATCTCAAAGACCATGTATTTTGCAAATTAGGAGCTCTCTCTGACTACCTTACTTGTTACTCTTTACAGCTAAATACATGTGTTCCATGTAGTGAGTTTGTCAGGTCTGAAGTGCAAGCCATGCATTCACATGATTTCTAAGGTGCCTACCGAGGAGTCTGGAGGTGTGCCTAACATAGTGAATACAAGCAGAGAGAGGGTAAGTTTAGAAGATAGGATACACAAAGAACAAGTTAAAAATCACTTAGGAAAGTTAGATGTCAGCAAGTCACCAGGTCCTGATGAAATGCATCCCAGGATACTCAAGGAGCTGATAGAGGAGGTATCTGAGCCTTTAGCTATGATCTTTGAAAAATCATGGAAGACAGGGGAGATACCAGAAGACTGGAAAAGGGCAAATATTGTGCCCATCTATAAAAAGGGGAATAAGAACAACCCAGGAAACTACAGACCGGTCAGTTTAACGTCTGTCCCAGGGAAGATAATGGAGCAGGTAATTAAGGAAATCATATGCAAACACTTGGAAGGTAATAAAGTGATAGGGAATAGCCAGCATGGGTTTATGAAGAACAAGTCATGCCAAACTAATCTGATAGCTTTCTTTGATAAGATAACGAGCCTTGTGGATAAGGGAGAAGCGGTGGATGTCATATACCTAGACTTTAGTAAGGCATTTGATACGGTCTCGCATGATATTCTTATTGATAAACTAGGCAAATATAACTTAGATAGGGCCACGATAAGGTGGGTGCATAATTGGCTGGATAACCGTAGTCAGAGAGTTGTTGTTAACGGTGCTAAATCCTGCTGGAAAGGGATAACAAGTGGAGTTCCGCAAGGGTCTGTTTTGGGACCCGTACTATTCAATATCTTCATCAATGATGTAGATATTGGGATAGAGAGTACGCTTATTAAGTTTGCAGATGATACCAAACTGGGTGGGGTTGCAACTTCTTTGGAGGATAGGGACATAATTCAAAATGACCTTAGCAAGTTAGAGAAATGGTCAGAGGTAAACAGGATGAGGTTTAATAAAGAGAAATGCAAAGTGCTCCACTTAGGAAGGAACAATCAGTTCCATACATACAAGATGGGAAGCGACTGTCTAGGAAGGAGCATGGCAGAAAGGGATCTAGGGGTCATAGTGGACCACAAGTTGAATATGAGTCAACAGTGTGATGCTGTTGCAAAAAAAGCAAATATGATTCTAGGTTGTATCAACAGGTGTGTTGTAAGCAAAACTCGTGAAGTCATTCTGCCGCTCTACTCTGCACTAGTTAGGCCTCAGCTGGAGTACTGTGTCCAGTTCTGGGCGCCACATTTCAAGAAAGATGTGGAGAAATTGGAAAGGGTACAGAGAAGAGCAACAAGAATGATTAAAGGTTTAGAGAACATGACCTATGAAGCCAGGCTTCATGAACTGGGCTTGTTTAGTTTGGAAAAAAGAAGATTAAGGGGGGACATGATAGCGGTTTTCAAATATCTAAAAGGGTGTCACAAGGAGGAAGGAGAAAATTTGTTCCTCTTGGTTTCTGAGGACAGGACAAGGAGTAATGGGCTTAAAGTGCAGCAGGGGAGGTTTAGATTGGACATTAGGAAAAAATTCCTAACTGTCAGGGTGGTCAAATATTGGAATAAATTGCCAAGGGAGGTGGTGGAATCTCCCTCTCTGGAGATATTTAAGAACAGGTTAGATAGACATCTGTCAGGGATGGTGTAGACAGAGCTTGATCCTGCCTTGAGGGCGGGGGGCTGGACTCGATGACCTCTCGAGGTCCCTTCCAGTCCTATTATTCTACCCTATTTCAAGCCATTAGACTCAGGCTTTCCAATTAATCCAAAGCTGTGTTTTGAGAAGAGTACCATAATAACTCATTCACAGCCATCATCCACCGAGGGCTGTGCGCCGCAGCTAATAGAGGCAGTAGTCCTTACTGCAGGGGTGAGCAAAAGGGCTTCCAAGGGCTGGATGTGGCCTGCCAAGTGGGTTGATCCAGCCAGCAGAGGCCCTGCCGCTCCCCCACCCCAAAGCCCTGATTGCAGGCTCCTCTAGCCCCCCAGGCCAAAGTTTCCTCCACCCTGTGAGGAGCACAAGTGCCACATGCTCCTGGCAGAGCAGGAGGAGGCTTTGTGTGCTCCCCTGTCCCCAGGTCCTGATTGGGCTGGGGTGGGAGAGCATGGGAAGTCTCCTCCCACCTCCAGAGGCATGGGTGCTTAGTGGGAAGGGAGGCAAAGGCGTTCCCACACCCCAGACCAATCATGGTCTGGGGGTGGGGAAGCCTGGAAGCATCCTGGACCCACCCCTTAAAGTGTGGCTGGGGGCCATTTCAAAAATTTTTAAAATTATTGCCCACCCCTGCCTTAATGCATGGATCTTCCATTGTCATCTATTTGCATTGCAGTAGGACACTGGATCACAACGGACCCTTTGTGCTAGGAGCTGTATAAACAGAGAACACAAAGGTAGTCCCTGTCCCAAGAGCAGGAAGGCTAGCACTTTAAAGAGGACACAACTCATACATCCGGCAGCAATGACTGTTCATTTCCCCAGACATATAATGCCAGGTACAGACAAAGCATCAAAGCAACTAAATATAAAAAGACTCAGCACAGCACAAGTACATCATATACCTACACGGTTCAACATTTTCACAGTAGAAACTGCCTCTTCCTTTCATTCCACTCACTATATGCATTAAGCTACCAGCCATTTAACAAGGGAAATAGTATTTTTTTACACCTCCTGCCTGCTTTCTCCATTTAAATCCTAGACCTAAGGACAGTACTGCACAGAATTAAAGCCCTGACCCTGAGTCCATGTCAAAGCTCCTATTAACCTCAGCAATGGGTGCTGAGGAAAACTAAAATTATTTTGTAATTCAGAGGAAGGAGGAAGGAGAAAATTTGTTCCTCTTGGTTACTGAGGTCAGGACAAGGAGTAATGGGCTTAAAGTGCAGCAGGGGAGGTTTAGATTGGACATTAGGAAAAAATTCCTAACTGTCAGGGTGGTCAAATATTGGAATAAATTGCCAAGGGAGGTGGTGGAATCTCCCTCTCTGGAGATATTTAAGAACAGGTTAGACAGACATCTGTCAGGGATGGTGTAGACGGAGCTTGGTCCTGCCTTGAGGGCGGGGGGCTGGACTCGATGACCTCTCGAGGTCCCTTCCAGTCCTATGATTCTATGATTCTATGGTTAGGAGCAGTGAGTCGCAGGATACAGTTGCCTTTACAGGTTAAAGGGGCCCTGCTGACTCTTGCTGTATTCTGGCCCCCAATCTATTTTTAAGCCAACATTCAATAGCAATAGCTTGATTGCATGGGATGTAATTAAAGAGGAATGGGCAAGAGGGGCAAACAAGTAATGAGCAGGGAGAAGAGACAACAAAAAACTCCCACTACGTGGCAAACCAGGAAGGGAACATTCGTGAGAGGGGGAGATGGAGGGCGAGGGGTATCCTGGCCAGAGCAGCCCCCCTCTCGGCCCCCAGTGCAAGCCCAGCCAGCATCTCACCGTCGGGGAGCCATTCCTTCATGTTGCCCACCACATAGGCAGGATTCAGCGTCTTCTCAATGTACTGCCTGTAGCACTGCAGGTTGGCTTTCTGCTCCGCAGTCATCTGCGCTCCAGCGTGTGGATCCGCGCTGGCGCAACTAGTTCCCAGGTGCCCTGTGTCCCCCTTGCACTGGCTCCTCGCTTGCAGCGGAGAGAAACCAACTGCTGGCCCCTGCGCTCCACTTCAGCAGCGAGACACAGGCGGACAGGGAAGACCAACTCCCCCCCGACGCATGCTCACAGCTCTTCCCCGGCGCAGACTGACTGAAAATCAGCTGACTCAGACGGCGGAGGAAAAGTGAGAGCCGCCGGTTTGGGAGGAGAAAGGAAACTTAGCAGAGCCACAGAAAGGAAACCGAAACCTAGCACCAGAGCCCGGCCAGGAGGTGTGCAGAGGCAAGGCGCAAAGATGCGACCAATCAAGTATCAGGAAAATCATCTCTGGAGGTCAGCAGCAGATGCAGCAAAGCATAGCACGGCCGCTAAGGATACCGCTGTATTTTGAAGTCTCAGGTGCAAAATCATGAATTTCAGAAGCCGTTAAAATCATTTCCAAACAGAGTTCACACCACAAAACGTCAAGTACATGGAGCTGCTATGTCCCAATTTCAGGACAGGAAGTTAGATTCTGTCGAGAATTCCAGTGATGCCACGAATTTAGAAGGGACATTAGACTGTAGTAGGCCATATTGATCCAATAAATCACTAAAGCCCAGAATTATCGAGATTCAAAAAGGAGACCTCGATAAGACGATCCAGCACTGTTGTAACTAAGGTGAAGAAGTTTTGTGAGGGATATTAAACTTCATGCTTCTTGATTTAAACCAATCAGAGCTAATGTGGGAAGGGCAGATTATCACACAATGCTTACTGCAAATCTGCCTTCCTCTACAGCAGTGGTTCTCAAACTTTTTGGGCTCCGGAGCCCTTTACATGAGTAAAAATTTATGTGGAGCCCTAGCGGTCCACTGATTGTATGTGTTGTACCTATCGATGTTTCCAATTTGTCAACCTCGTGGAGCCCTTGGGGTTCCACAGAGCACAGTTTGAGAAACACTGCTCTACAGCATCTGAGATAGGATACTTAACTAGCGGGACCTAATAACTTCCTGAGTTTGTGGTCCTAAATCCAGACAGAATGAACCTTTCAAATTCAACAAGACTGCAAACTCCTTTATGGACCTTCATGTTCCTCCCACCAAATGGAAACAATCAAAAAGGCAGAGTAGTCAACACAAGAAAACTCAGAACCAAAGCAGGTCCTTCTATCTCTACTCATCCACAGATTCTTACATCAGGAATGTATATAGGCCAGCTCATAATTTATTTATTTTATTTATTTATTTAAATATTTTTACCCCGCCTTTCTATTTAACATATTCAAGGTGGCTTACAAGAACAAACAAAAAATACAAATATATATACAAATTTAAAATAGGAGACCTCAGAGGGGCATAACCAGCTAAAAACATATAGAGGGGAGGAACACGCACATACATTCTCAAACATTAATAAAAGCATGAGTAAAGAGGGTGGCTTTAGCCTGACCCCGGTACAACGCTAGCGTTGGTGCCATATGAATATCCCGAGGAAGAGAATTCCACAGCCTGAGAACAAAAGCTGAGAATGCCCTGTTCCGCATAGATGTCAATCTTATCTCCACCAGTGGGGGAACACGAAGCAAAGCCTCCCCAGCTGACCTCAATCCCCGGGCAGGTTCATATGGGAGAAGACGGTCCTTCAGATACCCTGGACCCAACTCATTTAAGGTCATAACTAAAATCTTAAATTGTGCCCGGAAACATACTGGAAGCCAGTGCAGCTGCCAAAGCACTAGCATAACGTGCTCTGTATAATTAGTGTTGGTTAAAACTCGAGCAGACGCATTCTGGACCAGCTGAAGTTTCTGAAGGCTCTTTAGAGGCATTTCTACATAAAGTGCACTACAGTAATCCAGTCGGGATGTAACAAGAGCATGGATCACTGTGGCCAAGTCATGTTTGTTCAGTAAGGGTCGCAGCTGGCGGATTAAACGAAGTTGCCCAAAAGCACTCCTGGCCACCGAAGAAATCTGATTTTCAAATGTTAAAAAAAGGTACAGGAGGACTCCCAAGCTGCAGGGGAGAGTAACCCCATCTAGAACAGGTGCCATGCCACATTCACGCACTGATGGCCTCCTGATCCACAGGACCTCACAGTCTTATCTGGGTTCAACTTCAGTTTATTTGACTTCATCCAAACCATCACTGCCTCCAGACACCGATTTAAATCAGTCATTGCCACACCTGGTTCTAATGTCACAGGGAAATAGAGTTGGGTATCATCTGCATATTGATGGCACCATCCTCCAAAATTCCTTATGACCTCTCCCAGCAGCTTCATGTAGATATTAAACAGCATAGGGGCCAAGATGGAACCTTGTGGGACCCCGTAGCACAATCGCCATGGGGTCGAATAGCAGCCCGCTAGCTCCACCTTCTGAAAGCATCCTGACAGGTAGAACCGGAACCATTGCAAAACAGTGCCTCCAATACCCAACTCCGCCAGGCGTCCCAGAAGGATATCATGGTCAATGGTATCAAAAGCTGCTGAGAGTTCTAGGAGAATCAACAGGGATGTACTCCCCTTGTCTATCTCCTGGCATAAATCGTCTACCAGGGCCATCAAGGCTGTTTCAGTTTCAAAACCAAGCCTAAAGCCAGACTGAAATGGATCTAAATAGTCTGTTTCTTCTAAGAAAGCTTGGAGTTGCAACGCCACCGCCCTCTCGAGTACCTTGCCCAAGAAGGGAAAATTAGCAATTGTGCCTTATCTGATCTGTCTTGTGGTAATAGTGCCTTCAGGTAACTCTGACCATTGTAACACATAGTACTTGGTAGATTAAGGTGTTTGAAATCCATCATAGAGAAGATTATTTTACTATGAGGCTTCCTTCTTTCTTCCCCCAGCTTTGCAGGTGAGTAGCACTGGAAGAATCTGATAAAGGCTGCTGGCAGCAGTTGAAAGCAGAATCACAGCAGGGCTTGTTAACTAGAGGCTACTAAAGCAAGATTTAAAAAAATAGTTGAAGAGTTGAGACTGTGGAAGGGACATGGTGAAGCTGCTCCCCTCAGCACCGAAATTATATGCATGCACACACAAAAACCATTTTTTTGCATTTCAATAGCATTAGAGGATCTGAGCATATTTTCTGAACCTTGTGTTTGAACAGGCAGCCCTGAAGCTTGGAACCTACAAAGGTGGGAAATTGGGAACAGAACCTGAGTTCCAACTTCCAGTCCTTCACTCCAATACCATCCTTCTTCCAAAAGGAAGTGGTTAGGCCCTGCCTGTAACATGCTAAAAAAGCCTTTTGGAGACCAGAATGTGCACATGGATAAGCATCACCAAGAACTTGGTCAGGTTGCCCAGGCAACTTTAATCGGGCTCTCTTGTACATCCTGTGTCTTAATCAGACAGAGGAAAAGATAATGTGGTCATGCAATTAAGGAGTATCATAATGTACCATCCCAAGAGGAATAAGTTAAAGAGTCTAATACAGTAGAACTTCAGAATTACTAACACCAAAGTTATGAACTAACCAAACACACGTCATTTGGAACGAGAAATACACAATCAGGTAGCAGCATAGATCACAATAACCAAAACACCTATGGCTGTCAATTTATTCAACTCACACAATTAACTCAAAATTAATCACAATTGCAGTTTTAATCAAAATATTAAAAATAAAATATCAATTGGAATGTATTTTTGTTTCCTACATTTTAAAATGCATTGTTTTGCAAATATTTGCACTGTAAATGTTTCCTACATTTTAAATGCATTGTTTTGCAAATATTTGCACTGTAAAAAATTACAGTATTTTTCAATTCACTTCACACAAGTACTACACTGCAATGTATTGTGAAAGTGCAATGAAGAAGTCCAACTTTTTTTTCCAGCCAATCACTTAGAGAAACAAGTTTGACTACGTTTATGGGAAATAATGCTGCCCACTTATTTACAATGTCACCTGACGGGAAATAATGCTGCCCGCTTATTTACAATGTCACCTGAAAGTGAGAATAGGCATTCACATGGCATTTTTGTAGCTGGCATTGCAAGGTAATTTACTAGGGATGTTAAATTTCGATTAAATACTAATCGAATAGTTGACAGGATTTTCATCGACTAATCAAATAGCCGATGAAAATCCTGTCTGAATAGTTAACAGGATTTTCATCGGCTATTTGATTAGTCGATGAAAATCCTGTCAAGAACTACCGTGTTCTGCCTTTGAAACATACAAACCTACTGAGGCACTTGTGTATTTCAAAGAGGAAGTGAAGCATGGCATCTGGGGCCAGCGGGGGACTGAGTCCGCCACTGACTGAGGGCTCCATGGGGGTGCTTCTGCTTTGAAATGTACAAGAGCCCCAGCAGCGAATCCTGTGCATTTCAAAGCGGAAGCACCACATGGAGCCTGGGGCCAGTAGGGGACTCTGAGTACATTTCAAAGTTAGCTGCCACTGCACCCCTGCTTCCTCCTACAGAGCTGGAGGGAACCGGCTTTTAAGCCCGCTCTCTCCAGCACCCCTTTCTCTCCTCCGCCCAGCCCCCTTGCTTCCTCTATGATAAAGATAGCAGGGGGAGGGTTTTTGCTTAACGGATAGTCGATGAGTCACTTACATCCCTAGTATCGCCCCGCCCCCTTGCTGTCTCTATGATAAAGATAGCAAGGGGGAGGGTTTTTGCTTAACGGATAGTCGATGAGTCACTTACATCCCTAGTATTTACCTGCCAGATATGCTAAAGTTTACTTTGCCTCTTCATGCTTTGGCCACCATTCTACCAGATGTGCTTCCATGCTGATGACGCTCTTAAAAAATTTATTGATTGAGACTGAATTCTTTGGGAAAGTGGGAAGAACTATACATTTCCTGCTCTGTTTTACCCACTTTCTGCCCGTGCTTCCATGCTGATGATGCTCTTAAAAAAATGTATTAATTGAGACTGAATTCTTTGGGAAAGTGAGAAGAACTGTACATTTCCTGCTCTGTTTTACCAACTTTCTGCCACACATTTCACTTTATAGCAGTCTTGGATGATGACCCAGTGCAGGTTCATTTTAAGAATGCTTTCACTACAGATTTGACAAAATTCAAAGAGGGCACCAAGGTGAAATTTGTCAAGATATCTACAGCACTCGACCCAAAGTCTAAGAATCTGGTGTGCCTTCCAAAATTTTAGAGGGAGGAATTGTGGAAGATTCCTTGAGAAGTCTTAAAAGAACATTCCCATGTCGAAACTGCAAAACCTAAACCATCAGAAAAGAAAAAAATCAACATCTTGCTCATGATTTAACTCGGAAGATTAAAAGGAACATGTGTTGGCCTGCAGTGCTTTGGACCGTCCGTTATCAAGCAGAACTAGTCATCAGCATGGATGCATGTCCTCTAGAACGGTGGTTGAAACACGAAGGGGCAGATGAACCTCTACTGCATTTGGCATGTAAATATTTTGTGACACCTGCTATAACAGTACTATGAGAA